ATCCATCCACATACCCATGAATCCATCCATCTGCATACCCATGAATCCATCTATCCACATACCCATGAATCCATCCATCTATATACCCATGAATCCATCCATCCATATACCCATGAATCCATCCATCCATATACATACCCATGAATCATCCATCCACATACCCATGAATCCATCCATCCACATACCCATGAATCCATCCATCCACATACCCATGAATCCATCCATCCACATACCCATGAATCCATCCATCCACATACCCATGAATCCATCCATCCACATACCCATGAATCCATCCATCCACATACCCATGAATCCATCCATCCACATACCCATGAATCCATCCATCCACCCACCTACCCATGAACCCATCCATCCATATACTCAGGAATCCATCCATCCACATACTCATGAATCCATCCATCCACATACCCATGAATCCATCCATCCACCCACCTACCCATGAACCCATCCATCCATATACCCAAGAATCCATCCATCCACAGACCCATGAATCCATCCATCCACGTCTCCACATCCCTCACTTCCCCATGTCGCCCGGTGACCCTGTGGCGAGGAGGTCAGCACTGCGCTCCCACATGGCACACAGAGGTCAACTCACCCTCTCACAATGCCGCTCTCCAGGTAGTTGACTTGGATGAATTTTCCAAACCGGCTGGAGTTGTTGTTGTGGGCTGTTTTGGCATTTCCAAAAGCCTGTAAAGAAAAATAATTGTTCAGATCACGAGGATAATATTTCATTCCTTCTTTTTAAAAATTTGCCATAGGGTGCATTTGCATGCTGATGAGAGAGGGAGAGAGAGAAAGAAAGTGACAAATTGCCCCCTGGGGGGATAAGAGAGGGAGAGAGAGAAAGAAAGTGAGAAATGCCCTCTGGGGGGATAGGTCATGCCACAATCCCTTCTCCTCTTGGGATTTTGGACATATATACTCTTGTGTGCACTGTGTTTTTCAAGCTGCTGGGTCTGGGACTCAAACCACAGTCAGCCACGTGCGATTCAGTCATCTAACCATCACACCACCAGCTGGTCCTCTTTTTTTTAGGAGAGATTTTTTGCTATAGGACGCATACACTCACCAGAAAGACAGAGAGAGACAGAAAGACAGAAGGCAATAAATTACCCACCAGGGCACATGTGCCCGGTGTGAGTGTAAGCCACCAGGTCCAGGACTTGAAACGTGGGAGTCCAGAAATGTAGCCATTACACCACCTGCTGGTACCAGGCTAGTCCTCTTTTTTTTGGAGAGATTTTTTGCTATAGGGCGCGTGCGCTCGCCAGACAGACAGAGAGAGACAGAGAGACAGAAAGCGAGAAATCACCACCCAGGGGGGATGGCCACGCTGCAATCCCTTCTCCTCCATTCTCCTCTTGGGATCCTGGGCAGCCACTCCACCGGGTCCAGGACGCGAACCGCGGTCAACTACGTGGGAGTCCAGCGACATAGCCATTACGTAAACTGCTGGTTCCCATAGTCCTCTTTTTAAAGTTATAAAGAAAGTACTGAGACCAACAGGTGACATAATGGTTGCATGTCTGGATTCCCACACAGTCGACCTCAGTTCGAGTCCTACACCAGGCAGCTTAAACTCACGCTGGGTGCATGTGTGTCCAAAATCCCGAGAGAGAGAATGGAGGAGAAAGGATTCTGACATGGCCATTCCCCCTGGGAGTGATTTCTCGTTTCTGACTCTGTCTCTCTGGTGAGTGCACACACCTTATAGCAAAAATCTTTCTCTAAAAAAAAAAAAGTATTAATTTCTTCCTAGAGCGATGGGAAAAGGGGCATCCCCAACAAATTTCAGTAGGAGGCTTGTGGATTAAGATGTTAGAATCCCACATGCTTGACTGAGGTTCAAGTCCCAGACCTGGAGGCTTGAAATTCACACCAGGAGTGTGTGCGTGGGTGCCCCAAATCCAGAAAGCAGAATGGAGGAGAAGAAGTTGCAGCATGGCCGCTCCTCCTGGGGGTTGACTTCTCATTTTCTCTTGCCAGAAACACAGAGAGAGACAAGAGAGTCAGAAAGCGAGAAATCACCCCGCAGGGAGGATGGCCACGCCGCAATCCCTTCTCCATTCTCCTCTCGGGATCCTGGGCATGCACGCACACGCGCCCGGCGTGAGTTTAAGCCACTGGGTATGGGACTCGAACTGCGGTTGACTACATGGGAGTCCAGCGACATAGCCACTACACCATCTGCTGGTCTCCCTACCCAGGTTCTTGAGGTACCCCCTTTCCCATGGAGAACCCACTGCCCCAGACCAGGGAAGAGGGCAACCGTGCTTTGGGGAACTTGAGGTAGGGAAGCCGATACAAGGTTGGAGTTGGGGAACTGAGTCCCTAGTTCAAGAAGAGAGAGAACCAGCTGGGGTTAGTGGGGTGGGGGCCGTGGAGCCAGGCTGATGAAGGGAGACAAGGCAGGGATGGTTTGGAGCCAAGTTCTCAGCCATTCAAGCCTTCCTGGCCCCGGGGGCTGGAGAAGGGGTGACGGAGCGCAAAGCCCAGATTGACACACGGAAAGGGAGGCTTGGGGGCTGGACGCTGATGCAGTGGTAAGACCCGACACTCTGCAAGGTTGACCCACATGGAAAGGTTCCGGGTTCCCATCCGGAGACTCTGGGCATGCGCATGCTCATGCTCTGGGGCTGCCTGAGGCTGGGGGTGACTCCAGGCATCAAGACCCTGTTTGGGGGCCGGCAGGTGGCGAAGATGCTGGACACTCCCACATGGCCAACCATGGATCGAGTCCCTGACCTGGCAGCTTGCTTTATCATTTTCCCTCTCTCTCACTCTAGTCGAATTAAAAATTAAAAAATAAAGTTAAATAAAATAATTCTTTTAAAAGCAACCCCAAAACATGATGATGATGATAATAAAAATAACGATAAAACGGAAGTTTGGATGCAGTGAGGGTGTCTGGCTGATGATGTTCCTGTTTGAGAAGTCTTACGGGGAGGTTGGGAGGAAGTGAGGTTACGGTGGGCAGGAAATGACCAGGCCACTGCGAAGGGCCATGGAGCGGGGCAGCAGAGTCAGAAGCCAGGAGACATGAGAACCCGGAGAGGAGACGGGATCTTCTTTCTTTTTTTCTGGAGAGGTTTTTGCTATACGGCGCGTGCGCTCACCAGAGAGACAGAGAGAGACAGAGAGACAGAAAGCGAGAAATCACCCCCCAGGGGGGATGGCCACGCGGCAATCCCTTCTCCTCCATTCTCCTCTCGGGATCTTGGGCACGCACGCACACGCGCCCGGCGTGAGTTTAAGCCACCGGGTCCAGGACTTGAACCGTGGTTGACTACATGGGAGTCCAGCGACATAGTCGTTACGCCAACTGCTGGTCCCCACACACCCATTGTGCTTTTCTTTTTCTTTTGAGAAAGATTTTTGCCATATGGTGCTTACACTCGCCAGAGAGACAGAAAGTGAGAAATCACCCCCCACGCTGCAATTCCTTCTCCTCTTGGGATTTTGGGCACGCACGCACATGCACCTGGTGTGAGTTTTAAGTCGCTGGGTCCAGGACTTGAATCCCAGTCAACTATATGGGAGTGCAGCGACATAACCACTATGCCATCTGCTGGTCCTGCATTGTGTTTTTCAAGCCATCAGGGCCAGGGTTTGAACTGTGGTTGACGGTGTGATCTGGCTCTCAGCTCACAGGCTTACTGACTGCAAAAGGGCCGACCCCGTTTCTTTCTTTGATGAGTGAGAGGGAGAGAGCGGGACAGAGAAACAGCATGTCTAATAAGGCCTTGACGCCATGACCCACCCCAGCCCTCCTCAGTCCTGGATTGTAGGCACACACATGCGCACGCACACACACACACACGTTGGGTGTTCGGGGAGGTCTCAGGATACGAACCCAGAACCCTCCCAGATGGGTCAGCCTTACAGAGTACGGCATTCACACGATGTCACTGTCAGGTCCCTCTACCATATTTTTATTTTTATTTTATTTTATTTTTTATTTTTTGGAGAGGTTTTCACTATAGGGCGCGTGCGCTTGCCAGACAGAGAGAGACAGAGAGACAGAAAGCGAGAAATCACCCCCCAGGGGGGATGGCCACGCTGCAATCCCTTCTCCATTCTCCTCTTGGGATCTTGGGCATGCACGCACACGCACCTGGCGTGAGTTTAAGCCATCGGGTCTGGGACGTGAACCGCGGTTGACTACGTGAGAGTCCATACCGTACTTTTAGACGGGGTCTTGCTAAGTTGTCTGGGCCAGCCTTGAACTCACGGTCTTTCTACTTCAGTCTCCCAAAGTTGTTGGGATTACAGACACATGTTACACGCCCAGACTTTAGGTATCGAACCTGGGGCTCCCATGTGGTCCCCATACGCAAAGAATGGTAACTTAGCAGTGTGCACCACTGTGGCTGAGCCCAAGAAAACCATCTGTTTCGGGGCCAGCAGGTGGTATGGTGGCTAAAGTACTGGACTTTTACATGGCTGACCATGGTTCGAGTCCCAGACCAGGAGGCTTGCTTTCTCGTTTTCTCTCTCTCTCAAGTCAAATTTAAAAAAAATAATAATAATAGGGCTGGCAGGTGGCGAGGTGGTTAAGGGCACTGGATTCCCACATGGCTGACTGCGGTTCAAGGCCTGGATCTGACAGCTTGCTTTCTCATTTTCTCTCTCACTCTGTTCCTCTCTGGTCAAATTAAAATAAATAAATAAATAGATATATAGATAAATAAAGTTACATAAAAGAATTCTTAAAAAAAAAAAATAATGATAGGTCTAGAAGGTGGCATGGTGGTTAAGGGTGCTGGATTCCCACATGGCCGACTGGGG